TACAGTAAAGTCAAGTGCAGAAAAGAGGGTCGAAACAGGAGCAAAAGATTGACGCATCACTCTCACGTACCTGGCGTATGGAGGCCAGCCTTTCTGTAGGTCTCGAGGACGACGGCCAGTCTATGATAGGGAGCGTAGAGCAGGGACAAGTCAAAGGGTGCATTAGGAGGCTGAACGCGGGACTCTAACAATGAGTCCGAGTGAGAAGCATTCCTGGAGCGTTTTGCCACCGAATGATGAAGATAAGATGCGCGTAGTTGGTCCCACCACCATTCGGGCCGCCAGCGAGTTCGAGGCGAGACTCCAAATGGATAAGGTTGGCCAAGCTGGTGATAAATGAATCGCAAAATGAATTGCAATAAATAATTTGAATTAATGATAAAAAATTGCATTCAATTATATGAGTTGGGTTCACCATATATTATTTAAAATGATGAAGAAAAATTTACTCACGAAAAAAGTAGTCGTCGATCGCTATAGCAAATATAAGTTTGCTTCATCGATAATCCCAACAAAGAATGTGATATGTAAAATGCGTGAAATTTCTTGAAATTCGCATCTGCCCTGTGACCCGATTGCACTCATGGCAAGATGGCGTAGTCGTGACGATTCGAATCACGCTGGGGGTGTTGATAAGACCTATGCGAGGTCGAAACTACTGCCCATCCTGGATGAGAACACCTTTTGGGAAGCAAGGATATGTGAAATTCAATGGAAACGTCAGCTCTAATCATATAATTGTGGGAAAATTCAACCATCAGTACTTCATTACGTTAAACGAAATGGGGTGAACACAACCCATATATCTGATTTACTGGTAGTCTGGAAAACTCATTTACGAAAAAAATTGCATTTAAAGACGGGTAGGTCAGGGAATACAATGAGAAAGATGTAAAGGGATAAAAATGAAATTGGGGTATGGAAAATCATGGCACCCTCGCACAACTATGGATGTTCTGAAATGTCTCCTAGCCAATTATCAACTATCACCCAGTTCTGAAAAACCAAGGATTCTGATATTCAAAATGTTGTGCATAGCCAAGCTTGGTAAAGGAAAAACAGTTGGCAGGCTATTTAGGATAAGTAGGTCTCGAGACATAGAGATAATAAACACTAATTGTAGAATGGAATTGCCGATGTGGCAAAATTCTATTATTCCACTACAATCTATAGCTAATAGTCTCGAAAACTACTTACATTGAAGAGCCCATAGAAAAATTTGATGTGGAAAAATCATGGCTTGCCTCGAAAGTCACTTTTGTCCTATGACCCACCGACATATAGTAGTGTGGCGCGGTGGTAACATGTCAAAATTATACACTGCGCCATTACATTCCGGTTTCGAGTCCCACTGGTGGTGTAGATGAGACGAGTTCGAGAGAAGTTGAGACTGTAGTCCAGTCCCGTCTGGATGATAATATTTTTTGGGAAGCAGAACTAAGTGGAATTCAGTGGCATCCTGGGGTCTACTTAGGGTATGGTTAGAAAATTAAAGTCACAATCTTCTCATCCAGAATTCTTGTTGTCAAGATGTTCAAAATAAACGCATATGGCATGGAGAATGAATCGAGAATGACATAATTTGTCCTAAATAAAAACAGGATGCCAGTATGCTAACCGACAATCGTGAGGAATCGCTCAAATGTGAACTGGATAATCATACCAGCTGGACAGTCTGTCTGACGTTAGTATCCATGACCCGTGATGGCGTCACAGTTGGGGGCTCGCCGATCTCCCTGCAGCGGAAGTCTATGCAGGCCTTGGTGCGAACCACGATGGCAGCGTCTATCCCAATTCCCAAGATCTCTGCACAGTAGGACCTTAGGTGAAATATGCAAAATTATACGAAATGCTTTAATAAAAAGTGATATAATAATAGATAAAAAGATTAAGAAGATCCGTCCGCGATGCTTGGTCACGGTCTTGCATTTTAGGATAGGCCAAATTCAATTTCGTCATCGCAACATGAGCATGTCAACAAAGAGACTCCAGAGAATGCGTCTCACAGTGAAGTGTACACACACAAGGGCTCTCTAGTAAATTGGACCGTGTGCTCTTTTTATATATCAGAGCATCGCCTAGGTAACTTGCCAGAAATCATGTTGGCATGGTGATTAGGATGTCATCCAAGGTATAGCACCAAGCTTCAACCAACTAAAGAAGTGAAAGAGGTTTGAGCAGAATGTCTAGTTGTATATATATATATATAACAATAAATAAATACATGTATAAACATAGATAAGTTACATAAATGTAGTATATGATAAGACATGTTCTATGGCTGTTTAAACTGAATGTCTTAGATTTGAAGAGAATTAAGCCCTTATGACTAAATGGCTTCTGGCTATGACGAGGTCTGCCACATGACAAACGAAGGCTCAGCACAGATTCAACGGAGTCGACGACGGTTAGCCGAGGTTTTCTTCGCATAAACCAGCAATCAGAACTCCGAGACAATTCGATTTTGGTTGCTTGCGAGGCCATTTTAAAAATCTCTTAGAGGCGCATATTCAAACGAAATTATAGGCACATCAACATTATACGAAGAAAAGTTGGGTTTCGAGGAATCTCTTGTTTCATAATTGTTGGGATTACTTCCA